TTCGGATAATGCCAAAGAATATGTGTTTGATGCCTTAGTGTCTCACCTTTCTTCTCATGGTATTCTTCAACAACTCACTTGTCCATATACTCCTGAGCAAAATGGTGTTGCTGAAAAGAAAAATAGGAGTTTGATAGGGATGGTACGTTGTATGCTTAGAGGCATGAGGGTACCAAAATCTTACTGACATTTTGTTATTTTGACTTCTACCTTTTTGTGCAATCGTACGCCAAGTCGTGTTCTTTAGCATAAGGCTCCCTTACAGGTCTTATTTCCTGAGCGGACACTTTTTTCGGTCCCCCCTCGTATTTTTGGATGCACATGTTTTGTTCAGGATCGGTCTCCTACTCGTCATAAACTTGATGGTAAAGCGATTCGTTGTATCTTTGTGGGCTATTGTCATCAATCTAAGGGGTATCAGTGTTATGATCCTATTAGGCGCCGTATGTATCACAGTCTAGATGTTTCCTTTCTTGAGCATATTCCTTATTTTTCTCCCAATCCTGTGTCTGCCCCTCTAGTTGATGATACTCCCTTTGATTTTCCATTACCACAGGAGTCAGAGTCATTGGTCATTATCCCTACAGGGTTATCTGTTTCTCTTCCTTCAGAGCCACTCATCTCTGTCAATACAGAGTTACCAGTCTCTCTTCCTTTGCAGGTGTATGTTCATCGCCCTCGTTCTCATCACCCTGCTGATGTCCTCTCTACCTCAGGCGATTCAGGTAATACTTCTCAATTTGTTGAGCATATTGATGCACCTGTTGTTAGTACTTATGAGATTGCAGGTGCTAAGCCAGTTCATTTACTTGATGAGACATTATCAGTGAAGGAGTATGATTTAGGGCATCGTTATCCGCGGCGTGATCGTCGTCCTGTTGATCGTTATGGTTGGACCGTCAGGATTTTATATCCGATCTCTACTTATGTTTCTTATGGTGATCTGTCTCCCACATTTCGAGCTTATACTATGGCCTTATCAGATACGCCGGTTCCTCGCTCTATTTCAGAGGCCATGCGAGAGCCCCAATGGGTTCTTGCTATGCAGACAGAGATGGACGTTCTTCAGCGTAATCATACATGGGATCTTGTCTCCTTACCTTCAAGGGTGAAGCCTGTTGGCTGTCGCTGGGTTTACACCCTGAAGTTTCTTGCGGATGGTACTATTGATCGTCACAAGACTAGACTTGTGGCGAAGGGCTTTACTCAGGTACTAGGTTGTGATTTTGGTGCTACATTTGCCTCCGTGGCAAAATTGACTACTATTCGGTTGATTATTTCTCTGGCTGCGGAGTACTCTTGGTCTCTTCATCAATTAGATGTGAAGAATGCGTTTCTTCACCGTGATCTGGACGGAATTATTTATATGGATGCACCACCGGGCTTTCGTGGTGAGGGGGAGTATGCTGAAAAGGTATGTTGACTGCGTAAATCTCTTTATGGACTGAAACAGTCGCCACGTGCCTGGTTCTCTCGCTTTAGTGATGTAGTCGTACGATTGGGGTTCACCAGGTGTCATTCTGATCATACCTGTTTTATTCGACGAAATATTTCTGGACAGTGTGTCATTCTTCTGGTATATGTTGATGATATTATTATTACTGGTGATGATATTTCTGGGACTGCGCAGGTCAAGATAGACCTTGGGAAGACCTTCGATGTGAAGGACCTTAGATTTCTGCGATACTTTCTTGGGATTGAGATTGCCCGTAACGACAGAGGTGTTGTTCTTTCTCAAAGAAAGTATGTTTTGGATCTTCTTTCAGATACTGGGATGTTGGTGTGCAAACCGGCATCATCTTCCATGATTCCAAACCTTAAGCTTACTGCTGAAGGTAAGGAGTTGAAAGATCCGACAGTTTATCAAAGATTGGTAGGTAGACTTATCTACTTAGCCAATACTAGGTCGGACATTTCATTTGCAGTCAGCTGAGTTAGTCAGTTCATGCACAGGCCATGTCAGCCTCATCTTGATGCAGTTTATCATATTCTTCGGTACCTCAAGTCTTGTCCTGGACTTGGGTTGTTTTATGTATCAGGATTTTAGACCGGTTCTCTAGCCTGTTATTCAGATTCAGATTATGGGGAAGCATGTGATGGTCGATCTACTATGGGCTTCTGTGCTTTTCGAGGGACTCATCTTATCTATTGGAAGAGCAAGAAGAAGACAGTTGTCTCACGCTCATTAGCAGAGGCAGAGTATCGGGCATTGACACTTGACACGTGTGAGATTATCTGGCTACGATCGACTCTTGGCCAGTTGGATATCACACTGGGTATGGATTCTGCTAGTCAGCCTTTCTAGTTTTATTTTTTTATTTTTGTTAGCAATAGATTTTAGGTTCAATTCCACTGAATAATCTTAATGACTTTGACATGGTCTATCTTCGTGGAATTTCCACTCGCATTATGTATTGATCTCATCTACATTATTTGGAGAAATTTGCGGCTTGATTGCCTTTCTCTCCCCAAGTCTCGCAGCAGCATTTTGTCATAGCCTAGAATCCATGGGGTCTGATTGTTGTTTCTTTCTAGTTGCTACTAAGCGACGACATGTGGAATACACGGGATTTACAATTCTTCCTTTGAGCCGCTCACTCTCCCTTCCCTTTTCTCCTCCCAACCCGACCATCTAGGAAGTTAGAGAGTTACAAAAATTTGCAGGACTATAAAAATTGGTTTTTAACTAAAATTAAATGAATGGTTTTTTAGTGAGGAGTGGAAACATGACCATTAGGCCACGTCATAGAATATGACTGGAGGAAATAGAAAAAAAAATATTCCCAAATTCTTTGCTTTTGCAAGTGATATCCCCATTTTTTTTCCCTATAAGTTGTTTTTGGTAAGTAATACATCCAAATGTTCTCCCTATAAGTTGACTTATTCAAAGAGTTGAAAACAAGAAGGGGTTGACCTTGATATTTTTTTCTGATGAGTGTTTGAAGTTTGAGATTGATTGTAAAACTAACACAAGAAATTTGACCAACCAATCAATTTGCAGATTTTGAATCCAAACTAAGTGTTTAAATCTAGAAGTTTAGATATCTCTTTATCTGCTGAATAAATTATATTTGGTATTTCTAATGAAATAATAAATTACCAAATGTTTAAATTACCGAATTTTCATTGTATTTCGAATGAATAATAATCATGTACCATCATTTTTTGGTATAAAGTGAAACTAATAACACTAGAGGCTATATGACTGCAATTGGGACAACACAACACTTATAATCTCGATCCGAGGTACAAGATGAAAAACATGATGAATGATTCAAAGCCCAGGATCAATCAGCCCAGGTCGAGCCACAATGAGCTCGGCGTACATTGATCATTTGCTCAAGAGTTTGAGCTTGGCACTAAGCTGATTTGATATAACCTGGAGATATAACCTAGACAGGGGACAGGGGGACAATGCCTGACAATTCTAATGAACAAATATTCCATGATAGAGGGAATATCACATCCATTTCGTTTCAAGAATAGTGAGCACAAAAAAAACGTCAAGGTGGCAAGCTCCACTACAGGACAAATGAAAAGGGGACCACAAAATCAACCAGAAAATGAAGAATTATAGAAGCCCTAGTACCAGGGGGTATAAATAGGAGGCGAAGTCACTAAAAGAAAAAAAAACACACCATAGGAAATTTAAGAAATACTTTGTAAAAAGGCTCTCCTCCAAACCTTCGGTAATTGCAACCTTCTTTTTTCAGCAATACAGTCTTTAAGCAACAAAAGTCTTAATTACAGTAGATGTAACCTTAGTTTTTCGTCTGAAGTGAACCACTCATATTACTGTCTGCATAATCCTTCACACACTGAACACACCCCCACTCACAAACACACACAAAGCCCATATGCGCCATGTTCCATTCTGTTTTGCAATCGGGTAAAAAGATTTCGAGTACCAACAATAAATATACTGGTCCACGAATGGTACCTCCACTTCTAAAAATGTCACACGTGTAAATTATTTATTTTTTTATTCATACTTTATTATGTTTTTTAATCAATAGTTCTAATTCATTCAAACTAAAATAATGGGTGGAGCTCAATTTCGACATGGTAAGTCCACAACTCTGTAATCTTTCTCTTGCATGTATACTAGTAGTCCGCCTCGTGCGATACACATAATATATAATTCGTCATCTCTTGTTTAACTTTCATTCTTCATGATTTTTCTCTTTTATCTTTATCACTTAGAAATTAGACAAATGATAAATAATTATCTAAAATTATAGGGTAATAATCGTAATTCTTTGAATAGATTCAAAAATCTAAGAAATTAGAAAGTAGGAAGGAATGTTTCTTATTATATATATACTAGTCATAATCTCTACTTGAAGGCACGATAAAACATAAAATTTGAACCCCAAAAAATAATCTCACTATATTAAATAATAATTTTTCTTTCCTTCATTTCTTTGATTACATCATTCAAAATTTATTTTTACCCATTATTTTCTTAAAAATATTGACAAAATTTTCTTAAAATATGTAATTCGACAAAATTTTCTCAATATATGTTAAACTATAAATTAAACAAATATTAAATGATTAAACATGTAATAGAAATAAGTGATGTAATGGTTTTGGGGGAGAATGTATAGGGGATAAAAATTCAACTTCCTAGCTTATTTATTATATATAGTGGTATTTTTTTAAAAGGAACCTCGGTGGTGCAAAGGAATTTTATTGATTAAAAATTAAATTACACCTAATCGGGGGGACGTATGTACATTACCCCTTAATGCAATCTAATTACATGGATATAAAATTAAAATAAAACCAACGAGCAAAATGCATGCATAGTTACAAAATAATGAAATGAAAGAAAATAAGCATGCTGCCCCTAAAATATTAGTGACAGTAACTGTTTTGAGTTGGGAGCCTAGCTGCAAGAAAGAAAGGAGCTGAGAGCAGGTCACATGAATTAAAGACAGCAGCTGAATTGAGCTATGAGCAACAGTTGTCTTGAGCTGGGAGACAAGGAGTGGGAGCTATTTAAGCTGGAAGAAGAAGAGAGGAGCTGAAGTAGAGGCACCATGATCAATGGAGCTAAGCAACTGAGAAGCATTATTGTTGCTCCTAGGAGACTGGAAAACGCGTGATAATTTAGCTGCCTTATTGATAAGGCGGCTGTAGGGTAAGTGAAAAGTCCTCTGCGAGAAGACAGATCTGATAAAACTAGATCTAATATGGCAGATTTGATAAGACATATGAAAAGTCTGACATGAGCAGACGTTTGATAATCTGTGATGCATCATCCAAAAAGTAAAAAAGAGAAGCAATAGAAAGATGAGGACCCTGTAACAGAAGCCCAACACAAAACTAGAATTCCTATGAGTGCTGAACTGCAACAAGATTCCATCATGGAAGATATTTGCCAGAGCAGAACCATAACACCATGAAGATTCAACATCAGCAGCAGACCAGAACTCAAGGCAAAGAAGATGAATATCTAGCAAAATTGAGAGATCCCTCATGTTCTGTAATAGAGAGATGTGGGAGATGGTTGGAAACCAGATCCATTGCAGTAGCAAGTCCATGTAAAAGATATGTGAAGGCGGGGTTTTAAGAAGAAAAGCAAGGAAGATGGAGGTCAGTTGGTGTCCAGAGAAGACATCCACTTCCTGTAGAAATGAAGAGCCACTATGGAGAAAATGAATATCAAGCCTTGTGATTTGAACAGAGGGTTTACCATGAAGAGCCAAGAGAGCTTGTAGATTGAAAGAAAAACCAGTGCCCTGAGCAGAGAAGACAGAACCGAATTCTGTGCCCAAATCCATGATGAAAAAATCTGAAGTAGAAGACAAGATCACCAGGTTCCTGCTATTATCTTCTTAACTTGAATTTTTTTGTTTATGGAGAGCGTATCCCTCATGTTAAAATAGGGATGCATCTGTATATTCTGGATTGTATATTGTTTTAAATTCCTCTGCATGCTAGTACAAATGATGTATACTAAGAACCAATTAACCCAATAAAAGTTAGGAGTCTAGTAGGGAGGAGAGTAAGAACTCTGTTGCCTTCTCAAAAGATGTGTCCCCCTCTTCGATGGAAGAGAACCACTATTGTCGAATGACATAGGCTTTTTTCCTGCGAGTCTTGAGTTGTTGAACATCATATGATAACAGAAGTCTAGCAGAATAGGGGAGCTGGTTTGTAGTCGTATAAGTCGATGAAACTCCATGCCCTCCAATATTTGCCAAAATGTCAGCCATTGCATTGCCTGCTCTGTATGTGTGGCATAGCTTATATTTGAACTTTCGGAGAAGAGAGAAAATTAACTGAGAAAGAGACCTGAACTTCCAAGCATTAAGATTACCTGAATTTATCTGGTCCACAAGAACTTGAGAGTCTGACTGAATAACAAGGGGATAAACTTCTAACCCAAATTGCAACATCAATCGTAAACCATCCAATAGTGCCCTCAGTTCTGCCTCCACATTCGTACATACTCCATAAAAGTAAGAACCAACAAGAACAAACTGTTCCCAGTGATTCCTTAGGACAGCTCCTCCTCTAGACAAACCTGGATTCCCTTTAGAAGAACCATCAATGTTCAATTTAATCGATCCCTTAGGAGACAAAGACCAACTTATCCATTTAACTTGAATAGAAATCTGAAATTGAGAGTAAATTTTAATAGCGGCAAACATCTCCTTCTCTATAGGAGAATCCAAAACCTTTGGTCAGATACAATACGCTTGTAGTCTTGGTGTGCTATTGCAGGCAACCAAAAATAAAACCTATACTCCTAAAAATAAATGTAGTAATGCGAGTAAGGATTGTTCCTGTTAGAGTATGTGTTGCTCATATTTGCTGTGTGCACAATGACAAGGAGGTAGATGCCGGAGCGGGTGGAGCATAGCCGAGTGAAGCGAAGTGGAATGTAGCGGAGCGGAAGGCAAACAAGATGGTGGTTAGTAGAGATGTGATTTTTGATGAAAAAGCCATGCTGCAGCGTACTCAGGAAGAAGAGAAACAAGTGTCAGAAAATTGTAGCACTAATGAACATGTGGTGTAGGTGGAGCTAGAGAACCATGGTAGAGAAGAGGATGCTCAGCATGTAAAGAGTTCTATCTTAGGTGATCAACAGCATCACAGTATAGTCACAGATAGGCCCAAACCCAATATCAAGGCGCCTACCAGGTATGGTTTTGAAGATTTGGTTTCTTATGTGTTTATTACTAGTAACGGGGATCCTACAACTTTTTAGGATGCAGTACAAAGCCAAGAGAAAAGTAGATGGATGAGTGCTATAGTGGAGGAGATGGAGTCTCTGCATAAGAACCAAACATGGGAGTTGGTGGAGCTTCCCGAGGGGAAAAGAGCGATAGGGTGCAAATAGGTGTATAAGAAGAAAGAAGCAGTATCCGAAAAGGAGGAGGAAAAATTCAAGGCTCATCCAGTAGCAAAGGGTTACTCACAGAAAAAAAGGGTTGACTATGATGAGATCTTCTTCCCTGTGGTCAAAAACACTTCCATCAGGACAGTGTTGGCATTAGTAGCACATTCAGATATGCAGTTGGAGCAGATGGATGTAAAGACAGCTTTCCTTTATGGTGACTTGAAGGAATAGATTTACATGGTACAACCAGAAGGGTTCAGTCTCCCTGGAGAGGAACATGTGGTCTGTAATTTGAAGAAATCATTTTATGGGCTAAAGTAGTCTCAGAGGCAGTGGTACAAGCGATTTGACTCTTACATGATCCGGATTGGCTACAAAAGGTGTGAGTATGATTGCTGTGTCTATGTGAAAAGCCTTGATGATGATTCATTTATTTTTTTGTTACTTTATGTGGATGATATGTTGATTGCTGCCAAGAGTATGAGTAAGGTCAACAAGTTGAAGACTTTGTTGAGCAGAGAATTTGACATGAAGGATTTGGATGAGGCCAAGAAGATTCTTGGGATGGAGATTCACAGGGACAGAGCTTCCAGGAGATTATTGCTATCTCAACATAGCTATGTTGAGAAGGTGTTCGACAAGTTTAGCATGAGTTATGCAAAACCAGTAAGTACACCTTTGGCGAATTATTTCAAATTGTCTACCGCTCAGTGCCCAAAGATGATGAAGTTCATGACATGTCAAAGGTCCCATATGCTAGTGCAATGGGGTGTTTGATGTATGTTATGGTTTGTACAAGACCAGATTTGGCACAAGCTGTCAGCGTGGTTAACAAGTTTCTTTCAAATCCGGGTCGACAGCATTGGGATGTAGTCAAGTGGATTTTCAGATACTTGAGGGGCACTACAGACTATGACATCATGTTTAGCAGACAACAGAGTGACCCTTCAGTTGTGGGATATGTGGATGCAGACTATGCAGGGGACTTGGATGACAGGAGGTCTACCACAGGTTATGTGTTTACTCTTATGGGAGGACCTATTTATTGGAAGTCCATGGTACAACCTATAGTTGCACTATCTACTACTGAGTTAGAGTATATGGTACTAGCTGAGGCTACCAAGGAGACTTTGTGGCTTACAGGTTTGGTCAAGGAGCTGGGTGCCCAGCAAGGTGGAGTTCAGTTGCATTGTGACAGTCAGAGTACCATTTATTTGGCAAAGAACCAGGTGTATTATGCGAGGACCAAGCACATAGATGTGAGGTTTCATAAGATCAGGGATCTAGTTTCTTCTAGTGAACTATTACTTGAGAAAGTTCACACTTTTGAGAGTGCAACAGACATGTTGACAAAACCTGTTACTACAGACAAGTTCAATCACTGTTTGGACTTGATTAATGTCTTCAGTTGCTAGATGGGAGATGCCCTAACTTAGCGTCCCAGGTGGAGTTCCCGGATACATATTCTCTTTTTTTTTTCTCCTAAGGGGTGAATATTTGCCAAGGTGGAGATTGTTAGAGTATGTGTGGCTCATATTTGTTGTGTGCATAATGGTAAGGAGGCAGATGCTGGAACAGGCGGAGTGGAACGTAGCAGAACGAAGCCTGCGACGACGTCTGCCTTGCGAGATTGATATATTTTAAGTATGGGGGAGACGTTGATTAGTTAGGGATATAGGGGTATTTTGTAAATACGTCTGTACTAGGGTTGTATAAATACTTAAGATGTAACCCTACTTTAAATAATTGAAAAGAACGACCACTCTCTCTTGTGGATGTAGGCACACTGCCGAACCACGTAAATCTCTGTGTTATTTTCTCTTGCTTTCTTAATTGATTGATTCCTTATTCTTCACCATAATTGTTGCACGATCACAACAGTTCCCACAGAGAGTATCTAGCCTAGTTTTATGCCTCGTGAGCAAGGATGGAAGGGGGTTTGAGTTTAATGAAAATTTTTTTAAGAAAAACAACTAAAGAACAATTCAAATTAAAGTATCCAAATCAATCAAGAGAACAAACCTTGATCTAAGTCAACATTCACCATCAGAATTAAATTTACAACTGATCATCGATGCAAGTATATATCAATTCACTATCTGAATATTCACCGTTGGAACTATCTTCTTATCTTTCCTTAGTCACAATTAATTAGAAAATAAGTGATCTAATTAACCTTAACTACTAAACAACCCAAGACAAGTACTAAAAATTTAATCCAATAGCATCATTAAGAATTAGAAAGCTCGATGAAACTAAACAACACAAGCACAAGTGGATGCATTTAATTTAGTCGAATGTTCTTTCTAAGATCTAATAATCTCTGATGCAGCAAATCATTAAATCTTTGTTGCTTCGCAAATTAGAGAGATCAAATAATTACGGATTTGATATCTAACCCAGCAGTAGATTGCAACGAATAATAAACTAGTAGGCCTTCTAGTAATAAAACGATGCAATCATAAAATAGGTACAACAGAACATCTAATACGCAAAACATAAATTGGACTATAAAAACAAATTAGATCTCACAGTTTTATTGATTCCGAGGCTTCTGTTTCCTTAGATCAAGTATTAAGGTTTAGCCACACATGGCCTTCATGAAAACTAGAAAAAAGAGTTAGAGAAGAAGGGGTATAGCAGCATCTATATTATGCTGATTTTTTTTTCTTTCTCTCTCCTTAAATAAATATAGAAAACATATCACACTCTCAAAACGTGTACAACTCAAATCCCTACGTTATAGATATTCCTTATCAAAACAGATTGACAGAAATCGTGCTGGAACTTGTGATCTATTTTTCTATCAAATAATGACTGAATCTTGATTTGGGCTCTACATGAAAGTTGTAACCCTGAATGTGTAGATAAATTTAGGTTTTTGAATGACCTGATTTGGATTTCGTAAACTCAAGTTATGACCCACCGAAGTTTACTGGTTCGGAAAGGAATCCAACTCCAATCAGGATTCTGATCAGCTTTCCGGGCCTGACTTTGAAACAATGTTTGGAGGCCCAAACGAACTCGGATTTTTGCAAACCATACCTTTCTGAAAATATTGATATGTCCTCTAAAAACTTCATGAAGAATACTTTCTCAGTCTGAAAATCTAACCCCATCCAAACCTCAATTGAAGCTCCATAGATTGAACTGCCTAAAAGTTAGAAATTGCACAATAATACTCCATATCTATTCTTTTGCCTTCAATACTTTCCTTTATGCAGTCAATATCTCTCAAAAATCAAAACATGAAAGTTGTAGAGATTTTCTTTGGCATTCCATAGCATCTTGAATCTTCTCAATCAGAGCTCGGATGAGAGAGTTATGCCCAGATTATGAAGCAATGTCAAAACTGTCCACAATCGTTCAATTAACTTCGTTTTACATTTAATGTCTCCATTTGCATCCTAAATTAAAATATAAGAATAATGAGTA